ATGCGATAAAAAAATATACCACTAAACCTGTAAATTCTCATCTTAATTTTTTATAAATTAAAATAGTTCCATAAATATATTAGAAATCCTCGGTGTTGGATATAATTATAGTTATAAGCAATAAAACCTTATGAATAAAGCATTTAACTTGACCGAAATAGTGTACATTTTCTCGTCCTAGAATTTGCACAGTAAAATTTTAAATATGTTTTACGCAAAAGAACCTAAATACACAATCAACCCTTACATATACAGCTAAAATATTTTTAATTCATAGTAATATCTGTGATTCCAACATTATTTTTCAAAAATACGACATCTATATCCAAAACTTATCTATGAAATATTTAGTTTGGATTTTGTTTGCTATAATATATATAATAATAATAATATATAATAATACAATTACTTATAAAATATTATTTATTATATTATTTATTTTTAAAATCTCTCCTTTCTAACCGGAAATAAATAACGAATGCATCACCGGAAATTTGCGGTCCGCCAGCGCAGCGCGTTTGACAACTTGTAACATTTTTGGACACAGCGTCGGGAGAAGGAAATAAGAAGAAGTAAAGTAGTGGAATCGCGGCATTAAGGACATTCCTCTTATTCTCATTCCATCGTCCTTTGCTTTAGCCTTTATGCATTTCCGTTGCCTGGCCAAATATTAAGCAGCCGCTCCACTTTCCCGCTGATAGCCCAATCGAGCGTCATAATAACGAAGATAAATGTTGCAAAAGTTTGCTTACAACACGCCCCAGGACGAAAAGAAGGACCCATCTCCCATTTCGCCTGCAGCTGCGATTTCTCGTTGCATTGTGTGTAGTTGCATACTTTTCGGCTGCCGTCTCTTGTGAATATTTTGCCAAAGACAAAAGGCACTGTGCGTAAAACAAAAGTTGGAGCGATTTTTCCAGCTAGAACTTTACGGATGTGGTGTATTGTAGGGCATTGGACCAGTGGGAATGCTTTGGCTAAAAGGAACAAGTTGACGTCAGTTGAATGCTTAGGACTCGGGAGGCCATTACAAAGGGATATCGTTGTCTTCTAAATGAACCGAAAATATCACAAACATTTAAACATGAAAATAAATGGGACTTGCAGTGAGAGAAAAAGTAGGTTGTATTATTATAAAATTATATTCTTAAGATATTCAGCTGAATACTATAAAGTGATAATTGGTTTTATGAAAATATTCGGAGTTGTTGCCTAAAAGTATGCTATGATATATTTTCAGGCCATAAGAGAACCAGATAAATAGCGAAAATATTTTCGCAGCATACTTGAAGACTTTTAATGGTCTTAAATTTTTTAGAGAACTGTTATTAAATAATGATATAAACAATAGCGATTTTGTTGCACTTTGCCTTCTCTCTAACTAATTTACTTAGATCGTCCAACTCCATAAAAGCAATTAATATTTATAATCGTATCAAAATCCAGAACGTATTAGCTATGCACAATTTTGACACGGCTTTGATCCCACCGACTAATGCCAGCTTTCTGCAAACTTTGTATACAATTTTTGAAGTTTAATGAGAATTTGGTAAAATAACAAGAAAGGCAACTGCAACTGCAACGGCGACAGGGCAACAACAACCATCGACGACGACAGCAGCGACGACAGTTTACACTGATGCTCGTTAGTTCTACGCCAAAAACTTTGCCTTTACCCAGGGCTTGGGAAAACGCCCCCATGAATCCCCCTTCTTGATTCTGGCCAACTGCAATTCACAAATTTCTGTATGGCTAAGGGAACAGGGAAAAGTACTATCGAAGCCGGGCCAGCAGCTTTGTTGGATTTGTTGTCCTGCCATGTCCATGTCGGACCCGTTCTCGTTCACTTGATTTATGTCCGATGCGTCTGGCGAATGTTTTGGGACATCCCCGATCCCGTCCCTATATACCCATACCCATTCCCGATCCACTCCCACAATTCCCGGGACTGCAGCCTTCGTTCTTGGCTTTAATTAAAAAACTAAAATAGATGAGTGGCCGGGTAATTTGTCTAGATTGAGGCGCTCAAAAGCAATTTGATTACTACTTCTAACAAGCTATAAATTATGGTACAGAAATAAATTAGAGGTCCTTGAGTAATGATATAAAGTGGTTAGCGCTCTTGTTTCTAAAAAATAATTGCATTTGATAAACCAAAATAGAGTGGAATAGCTTTTTAAAATCATTCTTGGTCTTTTTTATTTTGGAAAGAATTTAATGGTATATTTATAAATGTATATTCCTAAAGTAAAATCAATACAACATAAAATAAACTTTTCAGTTAAAAGAAATTTATAATTAGCCCATTATATCCCATAAAATTAGCTATTTCTTCCTAAGCTTATTAAGTGTTCTCTCCCTAATATCCGATAAGCCGGAAGCTTCTAAAATACTTTTCTTTAAATAGGCTTTTCTTACTTATAAATAAAAGTAGCCAGCCAAGTTGATGGCACATTTTTGTGCCGCATACTTGTGGCTCGAATTTTCACCCACAGATGAAGGGGCATAAAGTAGCTCTATAAAAATAACTCACAGATGCTTTCAATAAGATGGGAAGGGGCCAAGAGGGAGACATTGCATGCCCCACATGCCTCACATGACACACATTCACTCAGACATAACGAACAAAAGAAAAGCCAAAAGGTTAAAGGAAGCGACTGGAGCTGGGTTAAGAAAATAGCTCATACGCAGCGTGTGCCGCATGCCTCAAATGCCACAAATACTGCTTGAGTAAAGGAGCAGGACTTGTCTTGACTTGGACTCGGCAAAGAGGTGCAAAGTCAGAGAACGAGGATCCCACAGTCATGACTTCCTTTGGCAGCCAGCTGCCATGACTGGGCCATTTTCTGGCTATACACTGGCTTATTTTTATATTTATAAGTTAAACGATATTTATCAGAAAAATAACTCAAGGTAAGCTAATTTGTATGGGAAAAGAAATTCGCGAGGCACATGAAGCATTGACCACTTAATAATTAAAAACAGAGGCTAATTTAAGTTAAGCCAAAATGCAAGTTACTTGGGAAGGGAAACTGATGGATTTTTCTTCAATACTTTTAATATATATTCATTACATTTTCTATGGAAAAGTAATATGATATATATTTAATGGAATTTTTTATTTTAAAGTAAACACATACTTTCAATTCCTCAACCTTGCATATTAGAACACATCCTTCCTATTACCTGCCCGAATTGTAATGATATTCCTATGAAAGAAATTATTGAATATTTTATACGAGTTCCTCGAAATACATTTAAAGGCTGTAGATCAAAGAAAACACACGAGGCAGGCAGAATCCTTAAGCAGGAGGTCGCAATGCGACCCCGAGGCCACACTAAACACTTGATTTGAATATGCGCACCTGATGTCGGCTACCTGGCTACCTCTGCCACTGCTGATTGAGTTTACCTGGTTTCTGAGGGGTTGAGAGCTACATATGTACATAGTCTCGAACTGGCTTCAATCGAACTGCCTGGAATAGGGAGAAGATGGCGATGATGTCGATGCGGTTTTTTGGCTTCGCGGAACTACAGGCCAAAATCCATCATCGGGCTCCTGCACATATATAGGGCTTGTTGCTGATGCTCCTCCTGCAGTTGGCTGAAACCACAAATTGCAATTAGCGTCAGCAGTACACCCCATTGACCTCGACTGGAGCAGCTAACCCGGCATTTGATTGATGATGAACGCTAATTTATAAGGATTTTTTTGGGGTTCCGACCTTGGAAGGTTTATTCGAAATATGGCATCCAAAATTTGCATAACGCAGAATGTCTAATGCCCAGTGACATTACACTAATGATGGATTCAAGCAGCTTAAGTTAGGTTTTTTCTAAAATCAGATAATGGTGTCTAAAAGTATGCAATACACCTGTCATTCGAATTTAAGATATATAATTGCATACTTTAAAACACGTTTAAAAGGGAATTAAAAACACTAGTGTTTTTTATGGATTTTTTAGATCCTTGACTATTTGGAATTTTAAATTATTATTTTTAATTAATAAAGGAATACATTGATAACAGAATAAAAATCCATTTATTGTGTGTTAAAGATTATACTCGTAAACTGTATAAATTGAACAAGGCTCAAAGGGAATTTCAAAAGGAAAGTGAAAGTAAAATCTGCAATGGAGGGTGTGCGAAAAAGGACATGAATGTCCTGTGTGATTGTGTGCGTGACCATTTCCGTGTGTTTGTGTGAGTGCAATAAAGCAGCTCGTAAATTTCTCCTGCAGTTGACCCATCTCACTGTCTCACTCTACTGCCATCTACCCATCTCCCTCTTTCACACCATTGTATACATTTTCTTAGTTACATTTTTTATTCGCGCTGCACAATTTTTTCGCGCTCCTCGTCCTTGTTATTGTGTATTTTGCTGCTTTTATATGTTTCGGGTGTTCTGCTTCGTTTCTTTGGTTATAACGCAAATCCCTTTGTTGCCCCCGCCCCCCAGACCACGCCCCCTTTCGGCCCAGCCCGCATCCGCATCCGCATCCTTTTTTCGAACAATAGCTGTGAAATAATCACTTGCCTGTTTGCACTTTATTAAGTGGACAGCGGCGGGAAAGAGACAGCACGCCCCAGGCGCCATCCTGTGCGAGGGAGATAGTTGCAGTAGATTTACTGACCCAACTTTAAGTCGCGCTTTATTGTCGAGCTTTTGGAACGGAGTAAATTAATGCGGGATGCGATAGAGTTTTATTTTTAGCGCTCTTAAGCTTTAAGAATTGTAATGCAAGATTATATCATTATAAAGGATTATCTATCTTGATGGAATTGCTTTTGAAATCAACCAACTTAACTTCACACCAAGTCCACTCAAAAAGTTTTTATTATCCCGCAGTCTAATAATCGAATGGCGGTTTCAGTTTTTATATACTTATGCAAATAACAAATACAAATCTAAGAGCAAGGATTAAAATAAATAACATTTTATGTGTGCGTTTGAAAACTCAGCATAAAAGTCACACACACCATTACATTTCCTAATGAATGTTTTTAGAATTAAGTTTAGGTTCTCTCGTTTAATTGAAACTGCTCGGTCAAATTAAATTGCTTGATGATCGTGACCACAGAAATGCCAATTTCACCATCTAAAATAAAGCAATTAATTAAAGAATATGTATAATTTAAGACAGTTGAGACCCACAGCTAAAGTTGTTTGCATGCAAATCGGGAAAACACCTCCTGCCGTGAGGATAATGGGCTGCTGCAGTCGATCCTTGAGAAGGTTTAAGTGACATCGAGCCATCAGCAAGGAGACCAAGGGACAAACATCCGTGCACAGATCCATGTAGATCCACCGTGTCATCAGAAGGCATTCCGCGATGCTGGAGATAAAGAATTGCTCACCGGAGTCGATCAGGGGAAAATACATTCTCCAGGCATGACGTCCCTTCAGCAGAAAGTACGGAAAGTTCATGACCACAAATCTGGAGTAAAATATTTATTTATTTATTTATTTATTTCGCCAACAGTTGGTACCTTAACTGGCTACTTGTATATTACTAAACTAAATACTAAGGGACGAAAGGTAATTGTAAAGGGTTTTCTTAATTAATTCCCTAGGAGAGCATGGGTCCAGCCGCATGTGAGATGGAAGTTTGTTCCAGTAGAACAAGGCTCTACACAGAGGCTCATTAAAAGCATAGTTAGCTCTATATGCCGGAATAAAAAAGGGTTCAAATGACCTTAAAGACCTACCAGGTACGGAAAAGCCTATGCTACTCAGCAATGCAGGGCAGTCTATTTTGGAGGACAGCAGGTCACAAATAAAAACTAGTGCGCTAGTTGTTCTACGATCTTGTAGGGAAGAAAGGTGCACAAGACGACATTTCGCAGAGTAAGAGGGAACCGGGTCATTAAAGTTTAGAGAAAGAAGGGCAAAAGATAGGAATTTTTTTTGAACACGCTCAATACGATTGATGTGTGTAGTTCCAGTCGGACTCCAGACAAACGAAGCATATTCCAATCTGGACCTAATGAACGAAGAAAATAGGCTTAGTTTCGTGTACGGATCTTTAAATTGCGTGGAATTTCGTTTTACAAAACCATACATAGCGTATGCCTTTGGAATTATGTAGTTTATGTGATCCATGAAAGTAAATTTGGTATCAAACATAACTCCTAGGTCCAGTGATTCATTTCTTAAGGAAAGAACATGGGAACTAATGGAATAAGAGCTAAGGACATTAATTAATCGTTTGCTGTACCTAACGTAGAAACATTTTGACACGTTCAGAGGCAACTTATTACGAGAACACCAATTTCCCACATTTACTAGGTCATTTTGAAGAAGTTCACTATCGGAGATTGAATTCACAGACCTAAATATTTTAAGATCGTCCGCAAACAACAGGAATTCAGAATTTGTTATGCAATAGCTTAAATCATTAATGAAGATGATGAATAGAAACGGACCCAAAGCACTTCCCTGAGGAAGGCCAGAAGTAGCCACATACGGGTTTGAGAAAACACCATTGCACTCTACTCTATAAATCCGCCCATCTAAATAAGATTTAAACCAATTTAATATTGATGAATGAAATCCCAATTTCTGCAATTTTGCCAATAAAGCATTATGGGAGACTTTGTCAAATGCTTTGGCGAAGTCGGTGTAGACTACATCAACTTGATGATGACTGATAAACGAGTGGATGCAAAAAAGATTAAACGTAGCTAAGTTAGTGGTAGTTGACCTTCCAGGCATAAAACCATGTTGGTTAGGACTGATGATCCGACCAGCAAGAAAAGTTAGCTGCTTAGCTACAATTCGTTCAAACATTTTTGAAACATTACTTAGCTTTGCAATTGGCCTATAATTTGAAACAATGTTTTTGTGACCAGACTTGAATATAGGAGAAACTGTGGCAAGTTTCCATCTATGCGCAAATACGCCAGTGGAAAGAGACTTGTTGAAGATCATTTTTAGGGGCTCACAAAGAACACCTATACAGTTTTTCAAAATAAATGGAGAAAGGCCATCGCAGTCTAATTTTCCTGAGTCGTTAAAACTCTCAGCCGCCATATGACAGTCCAAATCAGTAACATCTAAGCACCCAATATTTAGCATCGTGGCAATGGCACCGAGTGAATCATCGTCATTCCACAGCGAGCTCGGTTCAAAGTTAGATACAAAATACTTAGCAAATAGATTAGCGACCCCAATATCAGAAGAAGCTGAAAGACTTTCATATGACATATGGGAAGGAAAGTAGGAGGTTGTACGTTTAGAATTGATAAAGTGCCAGAATGACTTAGGATTGGTAATTAGTTTACACTCTATATCAGCAATATATTGGCTGTATAAGAATTTATTGAGGAACTCAAACTCACGCTTATGTTGTTTGTACCGATCAAAGTCGGCAGCTTCACCGCTTTCTATGTAGCGCTTATAGAATTTATTTCGGAGATTTTTGTATTTTTTTAGTCCTTGTGTGTACCATGGTAGTCTATAAGAACTTTGAACTCTAGTTTTAGCATATCTGCCTATAATAGTAGAGAGAAAAGATATAAAAACTTCATAGGTTGTATTCACATCCGCATGCGAGAGGACTTCCGCCCATCTGATATTAGAAATATCACTACGGATAGAATCTAAACTGCTAGAATTAATATAGGTAAGAGGCAAGCGAGAATTATTTGGAGAGAAAATATAACAAGTAATTAAGATTAATAGGGGCTTGTGATGAGCATCACACGCGGCTAGCGGATTATCGCTGCAGCATAGAGTAAGGCATAAATCAGGGTGTACAAAAATTAGATCTAGAAGCTTATTTAAGTTATTAAAAACATGGTTAATCTGGACTAATCCCATACTAAGAAGCTCATCGATGACTAAGATTTCATGAGGAAGATGCAGATTACTGGGAACCATTGCTGAAGACTCAAGATCATGAGCCCACACGAGCGAAGATAGGTTGAAGTCGCCCAAAACACATATATATTGGCCATCTTCCAGCTCCTGGTATAGGTGGGCAATGTTGTCAACATGCGCTTTATATAAATCAAAACTGCTGCTTGGGGGTATGTATGATACTGTCAGGAAAATTGTTTCCATCGGACCAGCGAGAGATACACAGAGTTGGTCGAGCAGAGAATCCTCGTTCTGGAGACAAATAGCAATGCAACGCAGCTCACGCCGCACAGCAATTAAAACTCCGCCACCTCTGGAGCATCGTGTTTTAACGGAATCTCGATCCTTACGGAACACATGATAAAGATTTGTATCGAAGAATTCATTATCGAAGAAATCCATGTTGAGCCAGGTTTCAACAAAAATGATGACGTCATGATCACCATGAGACGTTGCCTGGAAAAGGGATTGAGCTTTCGTACGCATACCACCGATATTTTGAAAATAAATATTGAAATTTGTATTGTTAGCGCATATCCGGTCATCCATGGTCATGCTATCAATAACTGGTCCAGCATCATGGCCCGAATCCGTAAGAGGCCTCGCTGGGATTTTATCATAATTAATAAAATTATTTGTAAGAACCTTCAGTAAAGTAGTGGTACGGATACGAATAGGCTGGTGATCGGCGCTCCAAATATTAGGTGGGCAGTCAATATAAGCATTCAAGATATAACTGCACGCAGGTGAATCCACTCCTGGTAATAATGAGCGAGAACGTTCTACAGCAGCCGCAGTCCATTGTTGTTGTTGATGGCGAAAGCATCTCCAAAGAGCACCTTCAGAGAGAGCACTCTGAGAGAGTTGTTGTAGAAAGTCGAACGTCAGAAAGGTAGAGACGGAGAGCGCATGACTATTAGGCGATGAAGAGTAAGAATCCACCCGATTTTCTAGGTAATTCCGGAGAGAGACGCCAGATGATGAGAGCGCAACTCCGAGGAGCGCGCCGATATTAGAGCCAGGCGGACGGCGAATGTCGCGCACAGCGGACAACAAAAGCTCCAGCTGATGTTGTTGACGGTGCAACGGGAGAGAGGCGCAAGATGATGAGAGCGCAACTCCGAGGAGCGCGCCGATATTAGAGCCAGGCGGACGGCGAATGTCGCGCACAGCGGACAACAAAAGCTCCAGCTGATGTTGTTGACGGTGCAACGGGAGAGAGGCGCAAGATGATGAGAGCGCAACTCCGAGGAGCGCGCCGATATTAGAACCAGGTGGACTGCGAACGTCTCGCAAAGCAAACAACAAAAGCTCCGGCTGATGTTGTTGATGAAGCATCAGGAGAGCCACGGAAAGTGATGTGAGCGCAACTCCGAGGAGCGTGCCGATATTCAAGCCAGGCGGACGGCGAATGTCGCACAAAGTGGACAACAAAAGCTCCGGCTGATGTTGTTGATGGTGCGTTAGGAGAGAGTCAGAAGATGAAGAGAGCGCAGTGAGAAACGCAAGCAGCTGCCGATGTTGTTGCGAAAACGACTCCGACAAATGAGGAAAGGCTTGCAGACGATGTCCCGCAAAAGTATCGACGCCAGTGGCGTCGAACACTAGGGGTTTTTTGACGGCTGACTTGATGATGAAGTTGGTCCAGGCTCCGGCAAATTAGATAAAATTCCATCCCCTACCACAGTGGCCCGCTCTCTATGAATAAATCTTTTGACCTTAACTGAGTTCGGCCAGAAATCGTTTTTGAAGACTATATCGTAAAGCTGATCAGGGATACCAAGCTTGAAATTTACAAATTTTAAAGTTTGAACGTCGACATCTTTTTTTACAAGCTTTGCACAAGTGAGAGAACTAGCATCCACCTTAAGCTTGGTGGACACATATTTTAAAACAGCATTCGGATCTGTATCAGTTGCAAACTTTCCGACATGCAAAAATTTCTTGGTCGGCAAAACATGAAGGTCTTCAGCATTAGGAGCCACTCCAACAACATGTTTATTGGGCTTGTTGTTGTTCCTTCTCCTCTTATTTCGTACTTGTATGAAATTTCCTCTCTCCATATCCAGAGCATGATTAGAAGGGTCAACGACCGCGGAAGCCGTAGCAGCAGCAGCCGCATATGACAGGGGAGCTGCAGCTACGTTGGTAGGCCTCGGTAGACGAGGTTTCGGATTTACATTCTGATGCAATGCATCATCTTTAGGGGGGAACGCCTCCATGAATTTATTTTGAAGGCCCTGATATAAGCGCTCCAGGGCTTTCAATTTTTCATCGAATTCATCTATTTTAGAATGCGAATCATTCGCAACCACACAGCTATCACATTGCCATAGTATATTTGGATTTAATAAGAGTTTGAGCACATCATCCGGTAGGGCTACGCAAGAAGTATGATAGGCGCGACGGCACAAAGAAGAGCAGCGAACAGCATCCGAAGCGCGAAGCTGGGCCAATGTAACATCGGTTTTGCACTCGGGACAGCGGGGAAGTAACATAGCGAGAATTTAAGCACGTCTGGACGCAAAGAAAGCTAGATGACGATATGTAATACATGATATCAAGTAAGTTTCCCAAAGCCATGCGATGAACTGTGAAATGCAGCTCTTGTCCAGCAAATCCAGTATTCTCTTGGCTTCCTGCCTTTTCTTTTAGCCAATCATGGTGAAAGCGCACTTAAAGGAACTTCCATACATGTTAACCCCGATTTCAAGGGAAGTGAGGAACTCGCCAGCCGAAAAGCTCTTGAACCGCTGAATGTACTCGATGGTCATTGAAATTGGCAGAAGGATGAACATCAAAACAACCATAAAAGTTGCCCACATATCTCCATCTTTAGAGAAAAAGTATTATAATATGTAAACTATAAATGTTCCTAAAAGTATGCAACGAAAAAAACGAAATCTCGCAAAGTGAATTTAACGGCCAACTTTTCGACACCTTTTTAAATAATTTCAAAACACTTGAGATTTTTGTAATACAGCATTTTTATTGAAACAGATAATAATATTGAATTTAAGGAACTGAAAACATTACAAAAAAAGTTTAAGATTTAATTTACTTATTGCTTTTTGGCTCTGTCCAGCCCATGGACCACATGACCCGATCCAAGTAAATAAAAGCGTCCCGCGATTGAACCCGCTCGTTCAATGTTTTTTTCTTGATGTACCGAAACACTTTGCTTAACATCTTGTCCGTGGAGTATTTTCTGGAGTACCTAGCTAGTCTGGAAAAAAAGCCTTTTATAGGGCACAAGTCTGTTGTGGTTGTCTCAGATGACTTGACGCTTTATGAAAGTTTTAAAAGAATTATCGGTATAAATTTTGTATTGTCCCGCAAAACCCATAAAGCATTTAATAATTTACAATCTTGATTCCAGTATGCCATTTTCCCATCATACGGAAGTCGATTTACTACTACGAAATTTACTTTTCATCGGAATGCAATTATGATATACAGTGTTCCCGAGAAACCGAAAAACATTTCTTCCATCGTTCAACGAGCAGGACATTAACATGCCATTAACCAAGTGAAACATTACCAAAGTCGACAATAATTTGCTTGTATCGCTTTATTGTCCCATGTCGAACCGAAAGCCCCTCGTTTACTGACCACTATCATTGCCTTTTCGTCTGTCATTGCGTTGACCATTGGCGGTGTTAATCAACGCCACCGCTATGGAATGCATCCGAAAAATGATTGCCGCCAAACACATTATCTGTATTATTAATGACCTGCTGGCCACAGTTTGCACTCTTCAAAAAGATTGCGTTAAAATTTGTAAATATTATTTCCAGGAGTTGTTTTTATTGATTGTAAAATAAATCATATGAAACACGAAACGAACTTTTTTTTTATAAAACTATACCCAAAATATGAATTTGATAAACCGATATTTAATAAGTTATCTGTATTTTCAAAAGTTAATTTCTTTCGAAATATATAACATGGAAATACGTTAATCCATATAGGCTTTTAAAACCACTTACAAAGGTATTTAAAAGTAAACCACGATCTATTTTGAATACGTAGAAACGAATCATATTTGACACAGCATACTTTCAGACACCTTTACAAGAAATGAAATAATCCTTTTAATTTTGTAGGTCCTTTATTAAAATCCTCAGTTGTATATCCTACTTGCAAATGTAAAAATAAAAAAATTTTAAAATAATAAATTAAAATGGGAACGAATTTTATAACATTTTTTCTTCGTGTGTTGGGTGTCCTGTGAATTGGCATCATTATTGATTGAGTTGGTCGATAGAACCGCTGGGGCTTCCCCTCATCCAAACGGATCTCTTTGGAGCTCCCTGCACAGCACATTGCATTCTCATTATAGCCTTGCTTTTCGGGTGTTTAATTAATTGATAGCATTTTTGCCAGCGCTTTGCGGCCATTTCCCCTTTTGCCAATTTCACGGCGAGCGTGAAGCGTCGACCGTAATAATATTGACTCATTGACGTTGAGGACAGACATCCATATACATATGCATACAAAAGGACCTCCGCACACTGGCGAATTAAATGCATTCGCAGGAGACAAACCGTCGGTGTGCCCCAGAATCTTTTGTCAGTTCTGTTAATTAATCGGAATATTTTACATTTTTTTCGGATGCTGATGAAGCGACGGGGCTTAAACTTTATTCACAGTCTGAATTGTATAATTAAACTTGAAAAGAACGGCAAGCTTTTACTCTTGAGGTAAATGATATTGCTATTTATTAATTTTGCATAGTTCTACAAAGTAATTTCATTACAAGACTATATCGATTTAAAATGTATGCCTATTTAAACTTTTCGGCTAAGTTGAATTGCTTTATAATAGTAACTACAGAAAAGGCAAGCTTAACCATCTGAAAAAAAGCCAAGAATTAAAATAAATTCCAAAGAAAGATTCAACTTACAGATAGATTTGTCTGCATGCAAATCGGGAAAACTCCACCTGCCGTGAGGATAATGGGTTGCTGCAGATTGTGAAGGAAATAAACCAAAGTGGATTTGTAGCGACGGCTGGCAGACGTCCAATTTGATTGAAATAGACTGTCAGAGAGGTCCTGGCAATCATCGATAATCATGTTGCAGAGGTAGCAGAAGGGAAATGTCTCCATGCAAACGTCGAACATAAAGAGGCAAGTTCCAAGACCGGTCCAAAATGATAGGAAAAACATTACGTTGATCATCGAGAGGCCCAAGACTACGCCAATCAGCAGGAACTGCACGAAAATGACTCCCGAAAAGACAGGTCGCAGTGTGTTGACATAGCTAAAAGTTGAGGTCCATTAATAATAAATGTAATCGAACCATCTTTAGAAGTATCGGAGCTATAAAAACAGCCAGCTTACTCCAATATCAAATGATGATCCTGGATGCACTTGGCCAGTTCCTCCAAGTCCTCATCGTCTCCTTTCCCCGGATCCGATCGAAGACGCAACACCCGTTTTTGGAGCAGTAGGATGTGACATCGAGCCATCAGCATGCTGACCGTGGGACAAACATCCGAGCACTGAGCCATGGTCACCACGTAGAGCATTAGTAAAAATTCCGCAACACTGGATATCAGGAAATGCTCATCCGACTTGAGCAGCGGAATAAACATGCGCCAAGCATGATGACCTATCAGCAGAAAACCTATGAAGTTGGTGATCACAAAGACCCAGTAACACGTGTGGTACACCACGTAGCTAAAGTTTCCTAGGGCCACATAGCGATGCACCAGTGATTTCTCCTCATCCCGAAGGCATCTTTCGTCCAGGCGATCCAGTATCAGTTTTGCTTTACGCACTTTCCTCTGACCAAGCAAGGTGTAGGTGTTCTTAAAGGAGCATCCATACATATTGACCCCGATCTCAAGAGAACTGAGGAACTCTCCAGCAGAGAAACTTTTGAAACGTCGAACATATTCCACGACAATCGATATCGGCACCAAGATAAAGCATACCATGGTTGTGAGAAAGCAAAATACCTTGTAAACCGCTGCCCATCTTTAAATGTAAAGAATAATTATATTGACTTAATGTAAAGATTAACTATGATTACTCATTTTTTTAAAATAATTTTGTTTACCTTTTTTCATAAGGTTCTGTCCAGCCCAAGGTCCACATAACCCTATCCAAGTAAATAAAAGCATCGCGCGATTGAACACGTTCGTTTAAAGGCCTTTCCTTGATGAGCGGAAAAAATTTGGCTAACATTTTTGCGATGTTACTTCTGGAGTATTAAGTTATTCCGGTAAAAATGTCTTTTATAGGGCACAAGTTGGTTGTGGATTTCTCACATGACTTGGCAATTTTTTCCCTCGAACTATTGATATATATTGACAATAACTTGAGGTATATACGCAGATTTATATGCTCATATAAAGTATATATACGAATTTAAAAAGAAATGGCCTAGCCTCGTTTAAATTTATAAAATTAACGCAAACCGAAATTTTGTATGGGTACCTTAAAAATATAAAGGTGCAATGGGTTTTATATTTTTTTTTTTTGTCTCATTATAGGGTATTAATTTGTATTTTTCTTATCTAGAGGGTATATTTTTGTCACATCCTTTAACACTTATAACATTAAAACTTTTTTATAACTAACAAACTTCCTTCACAATTTGTAAATTATTAACCTGGGGAAAAATGGGCTGACCTCAAAAGTCCTGTTGAAATTAAATATCCATAGCTGGTGAAAGACTAACTAAACACACAACATTGGTTTATTATAATTATATTCAGCGTACATGGATAAAGTCTCATTAGTTTTTGGTCATTTTGAGACCGTCTAAATTATGACATCAGCAAACCAAACCACAGAATATGGTACGAAAACCCCAAAATATATAAATTATAAATAATATTCTCCATTTTAATTAGCTGGCTACTCGGTAACATAATTTGCAATTCAGAATGCGGCATTGGCATTTGCGTAATTGAAATTTTGTGACTAATTAAAAGGCAACATTTGTTGTTATATGTTCGACTAATTTACAACATATTCGAGCGTAAAAACGAGGCATATAAAATAAAATATATTTGATAACAGTACTCTGATGACAAATGGAATGATACTCATAAATATAGCTTTTAATTTGGCTAGTATAAAAAAGGAAAGCAAAGCGATTTATTAAGAATATAAAATTTAATGCCACATAATTATAATGAATATCATCGCCATACTTAAATCGTTAAAATTTACCATTAACGCTTTGCGTTAATCAAGTATATAATTTTATTTTATTATCTTGCAAACAGAGAAATATCTTGCATTCAGTTTTTTGCATTGCTTTTAATTTCGCGTAAGTTAAACTAATTAAATGAATGAAAGTGGAATTCTATATAATATTTTTTGAGGCAAACCTTTGACCGGTCCTCACATGGCAACGCAGATTTCAGCTGTCGTCAATCCTTTGAGTGAATGCAATTTATTTTAATTGCGATGGCGGCAGGACACGGCTCAAACGAACGTAAAGGAAAACAATTTTAAATGACCGTAAAATTACGCCAAAAACGAGTGGAATGAATGGCGAAAATAAAATATTTCCTTCTATTTATTTTACTGCCTGTCCCGCTCTCGTTTTCTAGGTCAAGCGCTTTTTTAATTTTCAGCACCGACCATAAACCAAAATTCAATTGAACTATAACTTCTCCTTCTTAAGCAGGTCCTATTTTAAAATTGTATTCTAAGTCTTAATCCTTTAAGTCTAATAATCTACAAATTTTTGTGTCTTACAGTTTATACTTAAAGATTTTTTTAAATAGTATCAGTTTTAGAAAAACATCAACGGAAAACTCTCGATTTCTTGTGACACCTTTAGCGAAGTTCGACTGTACGTTAGCTAAATGAAATATTTTTTGCAAGATGAGGAAATCCTAATCGCGTGCTCAAAAGAAAACGTCACTTGCAGCTGTCCCAGCAGGTAGCTTAATTTTCTAGCGCCAGCTGCCGTTTTCTTCGGGGATTTCCCCAGAAAATATGCCAGTGGCGGAATTTCTTAGATTCTATTATAAACAGGAGCAGGTAGCAGAACGTCGTGGTATAAAAACCAGGAACCCCTGACCTTATGCAGCACTGCACTCTGGACACTCAAAGCGAACAGATCTTTCCGCAGCACTCATATCTTTAAACCTCTGTTAAAATCTACATAATGGCTGAATTACTTTTTCCACAACTGGAGCGTCCTTTGCCGACACTGCCATCACTGCATTATACTCTATTTGCCTACAGGGAGGAATTACGACGACGCGATGCTCCATTCATGAAGATGTCCACTATCAAACTGCATCTTACGGACAATCTGATCCTGCAGACGATCAAGAATATCCGGCAGTACGATACCATGGAGATCATGAATCTCAACGAGGAGATCAACTTCAAACGGCGGCTGACCAAGCAAATGAGAAAGGTGCGCAAACTGGATAAACTCGGCCTCAACATCGATCCCCGGAAACTCAATGAAGGTGGTCAATGGCACTAAAGACTGATTTAACTGACTGGATCTCCAGCCTCTAAACACTCTAATCAAACTCTAACGTATATCATACAATTCCTTAACTATCCTTACATACTCTGAGCATGTGAAATAGATATTAAGCAAAGTCTCATCAAGTTTCTAAAACTCCCATAAGCCGATTTAACTTTACTAAGTCTATCAATTTTTTAAACAAATAAAATAAAAGTCAAAAATGATTGTGTTTTTTATTGCAAAAGAACGCGCAAAAATTTAAAAAAAATTAAGATTAGATATTATTTACGGTTCTTAAAAGTTTTTTAAAAATCTAGGAAACAACCTTACAAATTTAAAAGATAGATATCAGCTTAATTTTATTTAGTCAAAGTTACCGTTGGGAAAATTTTTAAAAAAATGGAAACAATGTCTAAATTATTGTACTTTCTATTTTTACCAATAGCAATATTGGTTTGCAATGCTCGTTCGAAAGTATTTTCTTCGGAACAATCAGTCAACTTAACTGCAGTTACATATTGGAGTATAAAACATAGGTCCCTCGATGATTGTACACCAGGCAAAGTCTTTCAGCTGACACCAGAAAATTTCTACGATATCACTGCAAAAGGGACATTCTTCGTAAAATTTTATGAACCGGATTGCATGGGCTGTGAAGATTTTGAGAGTACCTGGAAAGACTTGGCCAAATCATTTAAATCTAAACGAAGCGTTTGTTTTGCTGAATTAAACTGTGAAGATGCCAAAGTAATATGCAACGAATATGAGTTACGCTATGAACCAAATTTAATATGGCTTGAAAACGGTGACGAAGTACGCCAATATAATGGTGACTTAACTTTCGAGCGAGTGAGCAACTTTGTTAAAGAAATGAACGAGTTAAATTCTACTAAAAACTCTTCACCGGAACGTACTCATCCAACATCAGTTTCTAACTACTTAAAACTTTTTGGATGGTTAGTTTTTGTTAGAAGTGTGTCTATAAATTTTGAATAAATTTCTGTTAAATAAAAAATTGCTTTAAAATTTAAAAACCATTTTTGTTTTCGATTCTCCAGTTGCATTCAATTAAATTATTTCAGTGCGCCCTTTCTAATTATTTGGAAGAACTTTTGTCAACCAAATGCACAATTTATGCAGGCAGAACACACATGAGGGTGGTTTAAACCGGAAAACCAAAAACAAGAGCGCATCTGTTGGGTTCTGTGGTGGCCATAAAAAGTTTCTGCAACGGCAGCAACGAACCACATGAAAAATGCCTGCAAAAGCGTAGATTGTATTCTCAGCAGTAAGTTGCACTTATACCCTTTGGTCGTTAAATTCAGGGAATCACCATCGAAAGTCAAATCTTGTTGACTTTTTGTGTCAAGTCTTAAGAGATTCAAGCGAACTATTTAAAATTCTATAAAAATGTAGGCTTTTATAGGCTTTAATTTTGGACATATTGTTTAAAGTATTCTATAAATAGAACCATTTCTTAAGGCTTAAAATAGTATTTATCCCTCGGTAGATCTAAGACCCCTAAGCCAAAAAGGGTTTTGTTAACTTCTTTAATTTGAAGACGACATTATTAATAAATGTATTAAAAAATATTTTGTATGTTAGGAAGCATAATACCAGGAAACAAAAAGTCGAACCATTTGGCTAGAAGTCGTACTACCATTTTTTAACCGAAAGAGAAGTTGTAAGCATGCAAATGGGTGTATGTTATGTGGGTGTGTCTTAGTAATTTAGTGCGCCATTTAAAATGTCGGTCCTTCGGGTGTGGTTTAGTGTGTTTAACGGGGAGAAAGGATCCGAAGGCAAAGTGTGTTAACTTGGAAAACAATGATATGTGGGTGCATTTGGTACTTGCAGGGAATGTTCCTGCCTTTTCTGGGAATAGGCAATTTTTAATTAAAGACGCAATTCTTATGTGAAATATGTGTTTCTTAAGAACCATTTTATCAACTAATAATTTTGAAAATAAATTGTAAGAAAGCTTTCTCTTGTAGTCATCTGACTAAATTGAAGTGTAAAAGAAATCTAAGCTGACATTCAATAGACTTCGCAGACATATAAAAGAAAAATCCGAGCCGAAGAGCAGCGCGCCGTTGTGTATTTTGATACCCTTGAGAGGAATTTTTCTTAGAAATTGCAATTCAAGTACCAGTGACGAAACAACAAATAAGTAACAAGAAAATAGAAGGCAAACGCCAAGGAATGCACTAAAAAAATGGAAACGGAAGACAGGCAAAGAAAATATTAATCCGAAGCGGCACCGAACAGAACAAAAAAGTTTTCCCCGTCAGCCAGAAGTTTTCCTCTTCCCGGGGGAAAGTTTTTATTTTCTGGCTCGAAAGTTTCGGTTGCCACTCGAGCAAAATAGCTCAATGGCAGGAATGCAACTCTGTGCGAGTGTCAAAGTGCAGACGCCGCTGACAGTCACTCACAGAAGTACACCCACACATGAGGCCTGGCTTGAGGCACTGTGGTTTTTAGCAGTTAAGTACCGAGCAAAGTTTTGCATCCGACTTGGGTTGTTATTTACTTAGAAATAACAAACGAGAGGAAATGTAACAATTTCGGCGAGCTATATAAAATTGTTTAAAGGATTTTTATTGATATAAAGTTTTATAACCTAATGGAATATTATGTGTCCTTTTTTTGCAATGTTTGTAGCCATATATAATTCCTAACATCTACCCTTTTGTTTTTAACATATCAATTAAAATATATCTAATGATTAAAAATGTGATAAATAAATATAAGTACTACTTCTTAACGTCTAACGAAACATTATTTCAAATCTCGCTTAATTTCTTTCATCTCAACCTATAGGGGTGTAAAAACTTTCAAACAAATTTTGAATCCACCTGATCTGACCGAAAGCTTTTCATCCGGTCTTCATCAAACACATCAAATTCCGGCCACATACCATTCCTGCTACCATGGCCATTTAATCCCAAACCACTGTGGGGAACCATCCACAAAATCGCAAAATATTTTGTCCTACAGACAAAGGAATCCCAAGGAAAGGAGACGATGAACCGGCAAGATAGGGCCAAGCCCAAGCTCAAAAAGAGCAAAAATTCCAGTCAATCCAGAGCGTACTCCTCTTTCAACTTGGCCCACTAAAACCCACTTGAAATATGCACAAAAGAAATGGAGTGAAGTGTAACGAAACTAGTCGTGACACAATTTCCTATGCAAATTACACAAGTCATCGGGAAAATATCAAATATCCCGGCCAAATGAAAATGGTCAATTCATAAAATTCCACTGCCAATAACATTATCAGCTCGTAAAAGTGGGCACCCAAAAATACTGGAAAATATAAAAAGTTACACCCTTCTAACATTTCATTTCGGGAAAAATGTCCCACACACACGTAAAATGGAGACATGTACCATTTTGGCAACAGATAAATGAGGCACTCGGGATGGGGATGTGGTTCAAACTCAACTCGTAATATGTGTTGGCCAAAACGAGCATAAAACGAAGCCCGATACAATCCCAATTGAATCAATTGAATTGAATCGCCAACCAAAGGTTTGAGTTTATCGATGTGCGGGAAGCAAAAAAAGGGGAAATGGTTTACTTTTTTGTAGTACCTAGCCATAGAAAATGTTGACGCTCGTCACGATTGGTAAAGGGTGATTCGATTTTTAATTTTATAGATTTCTAAAAAAAATAAATGTAGTTATAAAGTAGTTTAAATATATTTATACCATTACTTCCAAATGGATTCCTTACCTTTTCCTTTCCTTTTATCCCTTAAATTTTGTGTTTATTTACCAATTTATTGTTTCGATTAAAATGTTATTGTAGTATTGCAGTTGTTTTTATTCCTTAAAGAATAGAATATTCCACCTACCGTGATACTTTATTTGCCTAAGACCTTTGTGTTTCTTTTATTTAGAAGCAACCCTTTTTTGTTAAACCCCAAAACGTAGCCACGAACATGGAGAAAAAGAAAAAAAAAGTTGATGTTCTCAACTGTTGAAGAGGAAAGCGGGTATGTGTGTCACATGGAGTAGATTCCCCAATTTTAGTGGCCGCTGTTGCTTCAGCAATTTGCCCAATGATGCAATGCGGTAGCTGGAAATTTATGATTCAATACTGAATGTCTGCAAAAATTTTAGGGCACTACCAACTGAACCCACTTCCTGTAAGCCAATCGATATAGTTTTGCGAACTGTTTGAATCACATCTTAACTTTTACTGGAATTTTACCATACAGACAACAAGAAGTTGATAAACGAACTGAGAAGTAGCCGAACTTTTGCAATATAAGTGAAGTGAATCAACTCGAAAAGAAACTCCTGAGCATTGAGCAGAAAACAGTCAAAGATGTGTTTTGTTATCGGTATCTAAATACTTGTAAACCCAACAAATGCTCCCCCAATATCCGCGAAAAGGTTTCCAAGTTCACATAAGTTATTGATTTGTTGGTATTGTACACTTAATGCGTATGCCAGTCAGATTTTCCCGGATGTACTTAACATATCTATGACGCCATCGAAGTTCCTTCCTTTTGTGGGGCAAAGAAATAAACAAAAATGATTAACAGACATGAAAAATCACTTAGGAAGTCAGACATATGGTATCTCTTCCCCCATTCCACATATCATACTGTTCAGGAAGTGGTGCTTTCATGATATTTCGTGATATTTATATATAAATTCAACATTTAAGGCGATGCACCATTTTTTGTAGTGTGCATTAGAATACCGATAACTCAATTTATTTACCAAAAATATTTCCACAAAAAGCAATTTCAATGAAATGTGATAACTACAACTCCGTTAATATCATAATAGCGTTCACATATCATACTGTACAGGAAGTGATGCTTTCACATATTATTTATATATAAATTCAACATTTAAGGTGCCGCACCATTTTTTGTAGTGTGCATTAGAATACCTATAACTCAATTTATTTACCAAAAATATTTCTACAAAAAGCAATTTCAATGAAATGTGATAACTACAACTCCGTTAATTAATGAGAAATGTTTCGTTTTCGAAATGTTTCAACTTTGGAATACTTGCATCCCATATCGGTATCAGCATGTGTAACTTTCAGGACGAAACTAAAAAAGTGCATAGGGCATAGGGCATGGGCCATGGGGGCCTGGGAAATGGGTTCAAATCATGACGTACAACAAGTTGCCACAACTTTTCATTACAAAAGCCAGAAGCAGCAGCCGCAGTCTGTTCACATTACTGTGCCATGAGAAAAGCAGAAGGCGCCTGGGAAATGGGAAATGGAAAAGCGAAGCAGGAGCAGGTCCTGAAAGGAATAGGACTCCTAGCTGATGGCCCGGAACGAGGCTTTGATGCTTCAGGCCACATGCAGCTGCAAAACAGGAATAGCTGCAACCAAACTCAGTTGAAAACTAATGAACTACTCGTTCTGGTTTGCTGCTCACACAAAAACTAAACAAAACCGAAAAACTAACACTAAAATAAATATGGAAAAATCATGAAAAACGTTGACAAAATGGCAAAAAGTTGGCACTCCTTCTCATTGCCAGTGTCTCTGCGTTCAGCGCCATAAATTTCATATGTAAATATGAGAAATATAAAATTAAATGCCTGAGCAAAGGGGGTAAAGATGTGGCAAAATGGGCTCCCCAACTTGCCTGGGCCCTTTTCAATGGCATAAAACATTCGGCATTAAGTGCCAGAAGTGAAGGTAAGTCATGTGAAATCATGTTGTTTGCAGCCTTAAGTGTCGACTTTAATTAAAGAAAATATGAATGATGTTTGCATGGAAACAAGTCCTCCAATAAGCTTTTTATGGCTTAGGTAAGGCAAAAAATATTCGTAAAATCATGAAGCCGTTGATATAATTCAGTTTCTATTCCTTAAAATCTTATTCAAGCTATGTCATCAAAAATGTATCTTTAAAGAAAATTTGAATAATGTTTGCATAAAACAAGTCCTCAAATAAAATGTTCATGGGTTAGATAAGGTAGAATATATTAGTAAATTCATAAACACTTTGGAAAAAAAAAAAAATTTTTTAAATTGTAAACCATTACAAAATCTTTATAATGTTTAGATTTTTGCTACATTGGCGACAGTGGTACTTCTTGATTACTAAACTATTCTATGAATCACAGAAAAGATTATAAAATAATATCATCCCTTTTTACTTTTCTATGTCCTTTATGTGCGTCGTTTACAGGATTTCACTACTTGATTATTAGATGTTATATTATTTGGTTTTGTTTCAAACAAGCATTCAGTAAGCTCTCGACAGATTTGGCTTGCTTTAGTTGAGTGCACTTGAGGGCAGAGTCTGTGGTCCACCTCTCAGCCCCCATTCACTTCTATTCACCATTAACTTCAGAAAGTACTCGGTATATCCCATTCAAAACAAAAAAAAATTGAAAACAAAAATAAATAAAAAAAAAGAAAACGTTCTCGTCCATTCATGCTCATTATCCTGTAGATTATTCGGTACTTTACAGCGCTCAGTGCGATAATAACGATGTTGTGAGCCAAGGACATCTCCTATGCACTGAGCTTATAGTAGTTTATAAATAGTTTAAAAACTATTTCAATATGCATAATTATTATTATTTATTATATTATTTTATGATTACTAAACTTAACTTTTAGTTAATATATATAATTATTTTTATATTTCAAGTAGTTTTTTAATATTGGTACATTTAATATTCTGTATGTTTTGATTCCGATCATAGTTTTAGATATCTTAATATAGATATTTTAAGTAAGGAATATCTTAATTAAACTTCTTCTTTCACCCTGATCCCGAGCAGTGTATTTGTCAAGTTGTGAGGATACCGAGGCTGCTCGATTTCGAAGCAGGGGGCAAGTTAATGCAGTTTTGGCCTCGTCCCTGTCCCGTTCTCTTCAAAACTATCCTGTCCTTTTGCTCCTTGATGACGACGATGATGATGCACTTGATATTTGCCGTATGAATGCGGCTTGGTGGAACGGGTGGTTGGGAAACGCAGAAATCTCTTTGCCATTTAAAGCAGATTAAGGCTTTGGCCCTTTGGTCCATATATATTTCGGACTCTTTGCGGGATTTGGAGCAGCTGGGTCCTGGTCCTGTGTTGGCCATTCAAGAGTCCTGGCTTTTGTTGTCGCTAGCTCCCCGACATTTACTGCACATTGTGTGTTTCGGGGCTGTCGTTTCGGCTTTTGTGGATTATTTCGCATTTACTGTGTGGCAAGTTCCTTCGCTCACCTCACCCACCCACTTTGTCACCCACTTTCCGGCTGGCCTGACAGCTTCAGTTAATTTCTACCCATTTAAATGTTAAATATTTTGTGGGGATTTATTTAGAGCACTGCTGAAAATATATTAATTTAAAAAACAGAGTATCTTTGAAGCAAGCTACTACAAGTTTCACGATAAAAAATATAAAACTTTTTAAAATGATATATTAAAATGTATATTAGTAAATGTATCTATTAGTTAAGGAAACAAACAATCAATTTCAATTTCAATGTAATATGAAAATATAAGCCAACCTGTTTATCTTTTGGAATCAATCCCATCCCAACAATAAACTACCATTTTTATATTTTTTTATGTACCCATATTTAAATCCTGTTTATGCTGATGGGTCAGAGGCGTAGTTGGGTTTTTTTTTATGACTAGCTAAAATCGTAAATATATTTCTATCCCACAGGAATTCTTCTCAGTGTACTGAAGCTTGCTCTGAACGAGTGGGTGTGCTGCTTTCTGGCCACCTAAGCTCGTCAGGCATCCTCGACTCACCTTGATCCCCTTCACCTTTACCTTTAGCTTCACCGCTAGCCCCTCCTGCTCGACCACGCCCCCACAGACGCCTCCGCCTCCGCCTCCCTAATGGACCTGCTGGCTGTCAGGCTGTTGTCATCATCGCCGCTAATCCCGCACTTGAGTGGCAAATGCCGAGCCTTCGTATGCACAGCGGCCCTGGGCGAGAACGATGATGATGTCCGGCTTAGGTAATGGCAATTTAATAAGCCCCTAAATGCTACTGTCGCCTCGGGCGCTGCGTTTTGCACTCAGCCATCGGCGATTAGGGATATTCCGTGTCAGCGACGACGGGGTCACCAAAGGCATCGCATCGGGGTCACCAGGCGAGGACGAAGTTTTTCGCGGAGGCGAGGGACTGGGTTTACTGCTTGGAGGTCACTTTGCCGCGCGGTCACCAGCTGATCTGACTTATCGAAGCTATTAGTTGAGCACCTGTTTGCAGGTTATAATGCCATTACTTATTTATAAGCCCATATCAAGCAAATTATTCTAATCTTTTCAAAATATAGAAGCAAGGAAGATTTTCTAATAATTAAATGGCTTTAAAAATACTTTAAGCTAAGTTGAAAAATTTAGTAAAAACATTTTTTGCCAGAAGCATGAAAAAATACTGTGAGCAAGATTTATTGGTAATTATAACAGCTTAATATTATTAAATTAAAACTAAAATTAAAATCTATTAAAGCAGAGTTTTAGGCACGAGCGAAACAATGACAACTAATCAAATGCTTTGTTTATTTTATAGTAATTTGCCTTGTAGGTGAACAATTTTTGAAAACCCCACTATATATCAGTCACTTGTCCTGTCCATCTGCCAGTTAACTTTTTGCCACCAACATTTTTTTGATAGTCCCGCTTTGTCATCGGTCTCACCTGTTTCACAGGTATTTTTGCGAGCATATTTCACCTGGAGCATCTGCAGACCCGAAAACTTGACCGGCAGTGTCGGACTAAGGACAATTACAACACGCAGGACGCGTTTTGCATGCAGCAATAATACAGGAGTCTCCGCCCCGGACAAAAAAGGGCAATTCACAAAGTCGACAGGCGTAAAATTGACAAACGCTCTTGGGACAAAATGCATTCAACATATACCTAAACATGCCAGCAGAGCTGGCAAACAAAGCCAGGTCCATTTGGGAGGAATCCGGATTCTGGACGTCACAATGGAAGGGTGACAACGAGAGCAAGGAACAGGGACAGCAGCCATGATTGTTGCCCTACGCTGCTTGAGCCTGTTGACGATTGTTAGTGAGACATTGACTAAGTGTCCGGACGGAGGACAAGGTGATTGGGGAGCAGGGAGGAGCTGAAGGATCATGGAGGAGGAGCTGGGGCCCTGGCATCCAGATTGGACGGACAGCTTAATGACATTCAAAGTGTCGAGTGGACTACGACTGGCCAACAGAGGCAGGAATCGCACAGATTGCTTCACTGAGAGAAAAAAGATATTTTAAAAAAAAATATATAAAATATATAAAAATATAATCTCACAGTGAACACTTCATTTCTTAAAGCAACCAAGTTCTTTATCAAATATCTAAATCACCGTAAACATTAATAAAACATCAAACAGAAAATATATTTCTATATAAAAAAAGAATAGCCTCAATGAAAAACTATTCTTAAAATTCCCAAGTGCCCTTTTAGAAAACCAAGATTAAACAAAATAAGAATATTGCTATATATATATATATATATGTATGTTTAAGTAGGATACTTGGTAAGTATGCCTCACCTATAAGATAAATAGAAAATAAATATATAAATTTCCCCATAAATTACCAAACAGTTTTCATTTGTTATAATACATAATAGATTTTTAATTATTGCTAATAAAAAAGTATTAAAACCTATTAAACGTAAAACAATTTTACTTTATGGCATAATCAATATTAAAATATATAAATAATTGTAATAAAAGTTTTATTTTTGACACTTGAAAAATTCATTCCAAATATTTCCTTTCAGTGTTCTCAAAGTATCGCCCACAGCCTCCCAACTTGCCCCATTGTACTCCTTCAGGCGGTGTCAGAGTGCATTCTTGTTGACTTACTGACACTTTGGACCCTGAGAGAAGATGGGACAAGCGACTGGATGCTCGGGAAATTAGTGCCACAAAAGGGTTGTCCAGAGGTCAGAGGTCGGAAAGGCAGGGAGTGCTCATTATTCAGCTCATTTGCATGCATTTCATTGCAGGACACACATTTGTCCACTCTTAGTGCACTTTACTTGTGTTTTTCCCATTTCCCTTCGTCATTTTTTGCGTACTTTTATTTCTCATTGTTGCAGGAAAATTCTTGTGGCTGAGATGCATTAGGATTTGTCCATCCGCATCGAGTTGATCAAATGTAGTCGTTGCAGCTAAGGGATACCCCTTAACCGATATTGAATACTAAGTTTGTTTTAAAATTATTTTAAATCTCTTACCTCAGAATTGAGTCCTTAAAAATCCTTTGGAAAATGCCTGTAATCTATATCTTTCACTTAACTATTGCACATCAAAGGAAGTGCTGGCCAAGTGTTAATTTCAATTATTTCCTGCATTATCCTTCTGTAAGCATTTGTTCCACACCTTGCAGTACCAGTCTGCCCCAGTGTTTCGTAATCCCCTTAACAAATACCTGATACCCGAGTGATACAGAGTAAAACACATGCAGCAAACAAGCAGAGATTTAGCAGCTTGATCTCTGGTCCAGCTAGGACAATACCGAAAACACAAGGACATCTGGCAAGTTCTGGTCCTGGTCCTTCTGGCACGTCCTGCTCCTCCGCCTTTTGTGTTGTGGCCCATGTAATCGCATTTGGTCGGCTTCGGACCCAAAAGTCGGAGACGAATGCAATTTGCTAGCTGGAACTTGTTTAAATAGATTTGGCCCGGACAAAAAACAATGCAGATTCAAATGGAGATGAGCTCAGAGGATGTACTGGGGGTTCTGTCTGTCTTCAGGTTCAGGACTTTTCGGTGTGCGGACATAATTTTTAGCTCTCCTGTCACTCACTGGCTTTGTAATTAAATTGTCAATTGGAAGTCACGCATTGTTGAACACAAATTGAATTCATTTATATAAATGTGAATCCTTTGCATTGCCAGTGAAATTTTATTTTGACAATGTTGGCGAAATTGATGAGACTGATGTTTGAGTTTAAAAACAGTTTTAATTTTTTTATTTTCCTATCAAGGAAAATAAATCTTTTAATATAAACAGATTTTTAATGTATTTATTTAAATGTATTCCGCTGAATTTTTTGTTTGGCGAAATTAACGAGATAGCATTTGACTTTAAAAATTCATTTTAATTCGTTTACTTTCTATAAAGAAATAAAGAGCTAAAAATACAAGCATATTTTAAATCCTTCGTTTATTTGCAAATAAAAATAACTGAATTTTAAGTCGAGGTTAAGTTTAAGCGAAAGACATTACCAATAAAGGGCTCCCATATCGATTGAACCCTAACTCATAAATCCGAAATGCTCATTAAGTTTCTTGCCAAGTTGGCAATTGAAACGATTTAAATTGCCAATTGAAATCCGCACTCAATCGAAGGACCCAAGTTCTCCTAATGAGCGTAGTCCGAGGTCCTGGACGGGAAACCCAGGCCGAACCTAATTGCATTTAAATTGCCACTCGTGTTATGTTAACAAATAATTAGTTGCCCACTGGGCACACGAAAGCGGACTGAGCTGGCCCAAAGGGGGCGTGGCCGAGAGGCCGGCGGTAATTTAGCCCAAGACAAGGACACAATGCACACATCCACATCCACATCCTAGAGATAGAGGTCCTGTCAGTTAGACAGACGGCGAACCGCAGGAGCGACGGCACCGCCTCATTTGCATAAACTGCGATGCGGCACTTGAGGCCAACTGCGGATTGAGGAATAGCAATGGTTAGGATTAAGATATACTATATATTCGACGGTGTACGAGTATGTGCAGCATCCACAGCTTACAGGGATTCTAGGCACGGAATGTGAAAATCCATTAAAGTGATTGAAATAATTAAAGTAAAAGGATAGACTTATTTTACTACTCAATAGAATTTGCATGTGAATTAATTCGGACTCAAAAGGATTATTTGTTGAATGTTATAAATATTTATTTGTTTTTGTAGCATTAAATTGTAAAGCCATTTTAAATTGTGGACTTATTTTTCATTGGTGGCAGGAAAATAAAATTAAAATTCGAATGTTTAATAAAGTTGTTATTTAATTATACTCGACAAACAATTGTATTTTAGCTACAAATTTATATAAATATTTTAAGCACATTGAGTAACAAGTTACACTTTAGAATAGCAAACATGACTATCCCTAAAGTCAACAATATCTCAATGCCAAGCGTTGACGCACAGTCACCCATAAAAAATGCATTCAAATTCAATGAAATGTGGCAATTTGCCATTCGAGTCAAAGTTGCTGTAATGCACACAAATTAATTATTAGCAACAAACAAAAACAATGGAAGCCATAGTAATCACATCATGCTCAACAGGAAGAAGTTGGAATAGGAAGCGGAAGTTACTCATGTATGTATAGTAGAATGTGTTAAAATCTCTAAAGATTAAATTGGTTTGGCAGCGACTGACTAGTTTCATGATGATGGTGATGATGATGATGGGGGAGCTTTTGGAGAAGGGGAATTCCCCGAAGGTGCAGGTCATCAATATCCTGTCAAGCGCAACAAGGCAAATTTTCACAGGCTCTTAGCAGTTTACAGTGGGGGTAATATAGGAAAATATTAGTTAAAGACCTTCATAAGGATTATAGATTTTTTTTAAATTAATAAATCAACTACTAAATTATTTGAGAGTTGAAAAAATAATGGTTTTGTCATATAAACTTAAACAAGTGTTGAAGAGCAAGCAGTTCTATTTTCCAAGTTATGGGGTAGATAATAAGATTCAACAGTTAATACATTTTTATACCCGTTACTCGTAGAGTAAAAGGGTATACTAGATTCGTCGGAAAGTATGTAACAGGCAGAAGGAAGCGTTTCCGACCCCATAAAGTATATATATTCTTGATCAGGATCACTAGCCGAGTCGATCTAGCCATGTCCGTCTGTCCG